CACATTTCTTTCTTGCATTAGAAAACAAATCTTGATTAAGTCATGGTTATTAATATATCTATATGAACATTAAGCCTTTTGTAGTTAATTAGGAAAATCAGGTTTTCTTTATTCCATTCCATCCAATCCCAACAAATGAATAGATAAGTTTGTAGGAAATTAGTACCAGGAATTCCCACTAGTGGCGAAACGTAAACATTTTTATGACATACATTCTTCCCATTTATAGTTATATCAAATTTTATACTCTATATTTTAAGTTAAACTGAATCATACCCGTTTGATGATCACATTCATAGTATAATTAATTTAGAAAACATGTCCTTGTGTTACACGAATTTTAATATAATTATAATCCAACATTAATCAGTTGTAGAAAATGAAAAGTGATGAGTTTTCATTCTGTGACACACCGAGAGGAGTAAACTGTTTACTCAGCTTCGACAACTATATATTTACACAAAATGTAACGATTAGCACATGACTGCAGCAAGACATATGTATATAGATATACATATTTACAAAGACCAAAACATTGATATACTACAGTTACTAATGGCAAAAAAATACAGTATTATGTTAAGAACGAAACTGGAATTTACACAAACGCATCAATTTATCAGTTCTCTTGTTCTCTATCTGCAGCTAGTCATCACCACTCACCGCCAACTCCTGGGCTACTCTTTTACCAACGAATAGTGGGATTGACCACCACGTTATAACGCCCCACAGCTGAAAGGGTAAGCATGTTTGGTGGGACAGGGATTCGAACCCGCGACCCTCAGATTGCGAGTCGAGTGCCTTAACCACCTGGCCGTGCCGAGCCAAGTAAGTAGATGGAGAGATGGCTCCTATGGAGAAGGCTGTCAGGAGATGCTGGAGTGGTCCGGAGATGAAAGGTCAGGGAAGAAAACATAATATTGGAGAGCCGTTAGTCAGGTGAATTCGTTGGACGGGCTGGGTCAGGACCAGGTATGCTATACATCTCGGTGGCTCGTTTGTGTAGTGTTGGTATGGTGAGGTGTGTTTACGCCAAGGTTTGTGGGGTGAACGTGGGTTGTGATCGGTTGTAGCAGATTTGTTGTCGTGTGTGATAGTGTGGTGAACGTGGGTTGGGATCAGTTGCAGCAGATTTGTTGTCGTGTGTAATTGTGGGGTGAACGTGGGTTGTGATCGGTTGTAGCAGATTTGTTGTCGTGTGTGATAGTGTGGTGAACGTGGGTTATGATCGGTTGTAGCAGATTTGTTGTCGTGTGTGATTGTGTGGTGAAAATAGGTTGTGATCAGTTGTAGCAGATTTGTTGTCGTGTGTGATAGTGTGGTGAACGTGGGTTGTGATCAGTTGCAGCAGATTTGTTGTCGTGTGTGATTGTTGGGTGAACGTGGGTTGGGATCAGTTGCAGCGGATTTGTTGTCGTGTGTGATTGTGTGGTGAATGTGGGTTGTGATCAGTTGTAGCAGATTTGTTGTCGTGTGTGATTGTGTGGTGAACGTAGATTGTGATCAGTTATAGCAGATTTGTTGTCGTGTGTGATTGTGGAGTGAACGTGGGTTGTGTTGTCTTTACAGATAGTTTTGAATTTTTTCCAGAATAGTACTGGGTTGGTTCGATTGATGTCTATTGATGCGCAAAATCTTTGTCAATTGTATAGTTGTTGTTCTTTGGTGAGATTTTTAATTATGAGATATTGTCTGTTAGTGGGTGTTTTGTAGGTTGGGTTGCGTGTTCTGATGAATAGTCGTCTTCTTTCGAGTATATGGATGATTGGTGTAAGATTCCAGTGGTTAATGTCTAGTTTTTGTGTTTGTGAGGGTATGGTGTTGAGTAGTGTTTTGTTCATATATGTATCGATTTCCTTATAATTGAAGGCTATACAGGGTAACGTTGGAAGGGTGTTTTCTAAGTCTTGATTAAATTTAGTCCAGTCAGCTTTTGTGAAGTTGTATAGTATTGGGATGTTAGCCACATCTTTCTTATGTTAACCATTTAAAAAATAAAACGTAGACAAGTAATTTTACATATATATATATATATATATTATTAATTATATATATATATATTAAAGTTTTTAAACACAAAAGACGATATTTTAGATAAGCATTTCTTGAATTTTACAAGAAGAACAGTGTTTGCGAGATTCAGTTGGTTGAACCCGTGTATAACCTATCAACATACGTCATAGATGCCCTATAATTTCAAGTACAACCAGTACGACACAAAGAAGTTTCTTACCCAGGATTCCACCAACAGAGGTGAGATATCAACATACGTCATAGATGTCCTATAATTTCAAGTACAACCAGTACGACACAAAGAAGTTTCTTACCCAGGATTCCACCAACAGAGGTGAGATATCAACGTACGAGTACGAGATAAATTTCCTTCACATGCTAAAGATTGGTCTTAACTATCACGATCTTAATAAAACAAACAAATCGATTGGTCTATTAAATAAGTATTTGTATGTTTGAAGGTTAATGACACAAAACTTGAAAATAAGTTTACATCGTCACTAATTTTGAAGTATTGAGAAGCCACTCAGCGGCACTATATTACCTACGCTTAAGGACTGATTATTAGCATTCGTAGAATGCATCCATACCTTCAAGTGTGAGGAATATTTTTGTGGCATTGCACGGATTCGAACTTGGCTCGACAACTCCAAAATCCAAAGCTCTACCATAGGGCCAATCCACGCCTAATAAACAAATAATTATTACTAATGAACTCAATAGTAGCACTGATTTTTTTACCTGTTGTCTATGTTAAGACAATGGACAGTCCGTAGGGTACCAGAACCTGTGGTAATTACATATTAACAAAGATGTGGAACATCATTTATCATTATTTCGAAAGAAAATGAATATTTGAAACTTTATAAAAGTTTCAACTTAGTTTTTATATTTACAGAATTAATACATATTTTGAAGTCAAACATAAGTTTAAAAAATAGAAAGTTTTATTCATTTAAATTCAAAAGTTATATTGTTAACACCTCAAAAACACAAGCTAATAATATAAAATTTTACTTATTTAAAATTTAACGAGTCAGTTTGTTGAAGCCACAAAAGTACAAGCAAATAACACGGTAAAATGAGCGTGATTTTAATAATATTCAAAAGCTTTGATTAGAGCACACACTTTAAGTTTCATCTCAATATTCCTTAGTTACTGTTAGAAACACAAACAAGTTAATAAAGTTAAAGTTTATTCGGAACAAATTTGAGATTACACAAGTTTTTTATCGGTTGTACAAACTAGAACTTTTTTATACTTTATTCACAACATTTCACCAGGTTTACCTGGCATCATCAGGTGGGATACAAGAACTGAGGCGTTTACTTGGCATCATCAGGTGGGATACAAGAACTGAGGCGTTTACTTGGCATCATCAGGTGGGGTACAAGAACTGAGGCGTTTACTTGGCATCATTAGGTGGGATACAAGAACTGAGGCGTTTACTTGGCATCATCAGGTGGGATACAAGAACTGAGGCGTTTACTTGGCATCATTAGGTGGGATACAAGAACTGAGGCTAACATAAAATTAACAACCGATAAGAAAAACCTGTGTGAATCTTAAAACCATAGTTCTTTCAAATATTTAATTTAATTAAAACTTGAGATTGAATTTTTGTTGAAACTTTCAAGTATATACAATATATATATATATAAGTAGGCTCGCCATGGCCAGGTGGTTAGGGCACTCGACTAGCAATCTGAGGGTCGCGGGTTCGAATCCCCGACACACAGAAACATGCTCATCCGGTGTCCGAACTAGTACGTCAGTCCTACTCCCGGATACTCACCTCCAACAGAATTTGGAGGTGTGAGAAACACCATACGAAACTATTATATATAAGTAAAATCACGCGTACTACTTACTGCGGGATGCCAAAACTTTAGATATAAAATAATAATTCTAGATAATTAATGTTGTAATATCTAAATCACATGGCTTTAAAAATTTAATTATGTCCAACAATACCATAAAATGCTCGTATGGAAGTTAATTCTATGTATATTATGTTGTAATTTGTAATACATTTTGTGATTTGAATTACTTTAATGGTTTTATTTTGTCCATCAATATCATCATACAATACTCGTATAAAAAAGTGGTTCTAGGTATTTGAAGATCTAGTTTCTCAGACTTTCTGTAATGCTTGATCTTTAACAGCTTAATTTTCTTTAGAATATTAATTTCCACGGTCTAAAACTATTCTGTAAATTCTCGTTTCATTAAGCTATTGAAATATTATGACATGCTATAAAAATAATTTTTAACCCCCTGATGGTTCATAAGTAAGTCTGAGGGTTTATAACGCTAAAAATTGGGTTTCGATACGCGCGTTGGGCAGAGCACATGAAAGTACTTTTTGTAGCTTTGTGTTCAACAAAAAACACACAAAGCTAATATTTAACTGTGAATTTTAAATATAAAATAATGAATGTAAAACACGATTCTTTCTTTATTGTCGCTTGTTCATCTTTAGTTATCTAAGGTGTAGCAACGTCACTTTTAAATTATGCTTTTTAACCTCAAATTCTTAATCACATTTATAGCACACCTACTTGAGAAAGAAGGCATCTTTGCAGTTACATCAACACATCAGTTTAGGGTAACTTTCTTACGCCTGGGTATCTTGTTTTAGAATATATCTTAAAACACGTAACTGCTAAAAAACTAGAAGTAAAAAATTGAAAAATGAAGCTATAATTTATAATAACACAAACTCGTCAAATAATTTTTCGCGCGTACATTTGACGTCACGTAATTCGGCTGGGGAATTTAAACGTACGTTCGCATATAAGTATATTAAAAAATAAATAAAATTTAAGCTTTTCTTTTCTATTTTTAAAGTCTCAAACCATTGTTTATTGTTAATGTTAGGCTTGAATTTCTGTATATCGATATCTATATATTTGTGTGTGTATGTTTCTTACTTTGTGGATATCTAATTATTAACACCAGCATTCATTTTACTACTTTGTAAATATTAAGGCCTATAATTGATCAAATATTTACAGCAATGAGTCAGTAAATGCTTATCAGAGGCTTCTAATTTCGATGTCTTTTCACGTGTGTAAATATCCATTCCGTACTGACCTTCCTCTGGAAAGGCCACAAAGAATGTCACCAGCTCGCCATCTCTTGCGTGAGAAACGTATTTTGATAACGCCTTTTCCTCAACCCCGTTTTTGTGAAGAGTTGCCATAAAATCTGTGAGAGGACGAGACATTCGAAATTGAATTTCCAAGTTACGGGAAGAAAGGATCAATGCATCGTCATGAGTAAGAGGTATAAGACCAAACAACCTAATAGCTTTCATTGGCCCCCATTCCCCACTGGCACAGTCTGGTAAGGGAACCATTACCGTCTGAAGATCTTCACAAATTATTTTAAATTTGCAGACGCTCTTAAATTTCATTGGTTCTCCTTTCAGATACTCTTGGGGAGTAACAGTGTTGGCAAAAACATCTAGTAAAAATTCGCCACTGCAAGGAGCGTGCACTTGGAAGGATACAATGTTGTCTACAACAGATTGCATAACGCACCTCTTCAGGCTTACACCATTGTAAGTGTTGACGTCACTATCGAATAACTTTAAGTTATAATGGAATATTAGGCTCGAAGACATGTGAGACGGCATTCCGATCCGAATGGTAATGGCGCCACTACTATCTGTGTACAGCACTGCCTTTGTTTCGTCGTCAGGCATGTATAGACCATAACGAAAAAACAAGGACCGCACAAATGGAATTTCTTCAAATTCTTGTAAGGTAATTGGCTTTCTCAATAGCTGCCATTCTTTCTGGAGGGGGAAAAAATCATAAATAAATTCTTTAGGATCAGTGAGAAAATAATGATCGTCGTATTCGTAGCGTAAGCTATCTTTGTTTTTGGTACCTGGTTTTGGAACTTCTTTAGCGTTCACCAGATGGCGCGCGCCCCAGTTACACTGTACAAAACGCCATGCTCCTGCAACGTAAACAGCATTCCATGAGTTCCGGAAGCAACCGTCTTCAAATAAAACACCAGGTTTATAACCAGCGCTCTTGGAATAACCCTTGATAACAACACAGTGAAGTCCAGCGTAGCTGTAACATACAAATATACAAGATTTCAAATGGGAATATTTTGTCTAAAACGTTTTTCAAAAGTAAATATATTATAGATTAATAATTTAATTCTATATTTTCTAACTTCTCAACAACATTAAATAACCTTTTTCTAAAATCTTCAAATTCTCTTCAGCAATTGAAAGAAATCCCAAATCAAAACGTTTCACTTCTTCAGCACTGCTTCCACAGTTGGTAAGACTTTACCAGTTCTCTGTCCTCAGTTTGTAAAACTTTTAACAGTTATCTCTTCTTCTTCGATGACGAGGAACCCACTTTGAGACTAATAATGGCTGGAGACGGCTTAAATGGGTAATGAAGAAAAACTTTAATATAAGTTTAACATGACAGTAAATGTACAACGTTTCGACCAAGGTTTTTGTACCCGAGTATTGAAAAAAACTTTCGGAACAGGTTTCAAATTTTGTTCTGTTTT